ATAACCTTAATTTATTCCCAAATCCTAGTCATTTATCTTTCTCCTCTTCTCTCTTCCGGCTCTTCTCCTCCCTTCCCCCTAATTTTTTCTTTCTTCCCCCCCAATTTTTTCTCCCCTCCCCCTCATGTTCAGCAGCTGCTGCCAGCGTCGCAGCAGCGTGACGCTGCGTTCAGCAGCATTGTTGCTGACATTGCTACCAGCCTCGCAGTAGCTTCTGCGATGCTGTGTGAGTCAGTAGAGTTTGGCTGAGTCGGTGGACGACGAAATTACAATGAGTCGTTTGGCTAAGTCGGTGGACGACGAAATTGCAGTGAAATGGGTGTGTGGCTCAGCAGTAGTTTGTGCGGATCGATGTTGAGGGAATCGGAGAGGCGGCAGATCTGTGGGTGTGGGGCAGAACTGTGTGTGGCTGTTGTTTGTGGTTGGTTGTTGTTGTTTGCTGTTGTTGGTGACGGATCTGTGTGTTGCTGGATGTTTGTGGTGTTCTCGGTGGTGGTGATTTTGGTGTTATTGTTGGTTGTGATTTTGCAGTGGTTTTCTCGGCGGGGATCTGAGGTGTTTTGTGTGGTGGCGTCTATGGTGATGGATCGACAGTTGGGGTGATAGTCGTGCTTTGTTTGGTGGCTGTGGGTGATGGCGGTGTTTTGTGTGGTGGTGGTGACTGAAGTAGTGCCAGTGGTATGTGACCAAGTATTTGGTTATCTGTGACCAAGTATTTAACTTTGACCTAAAAATTTGACAATCTGTGCCTGAAAAATAATCTGTGACCAACTAATTTGAAAATATGTGGCCAATGAAAATAATCATTTTTTTATCTGTGATCGTTAAAAAATCTGTGTTGCATAATTGCATATTAGGTCCCGAATTGTAAATTAGGTACTCCAATTTGGTTACATGTGACCAACTATTTAACTGTGACCTTAAAATTCGATAATTTGTGACCAACAAATTTGAAAATATGTGGCCAATGAAATTAATCATTTTTTTATCTGTGATCGTAAAAAAATCTGTGACCAATTAATTTGAAAATATGTGACCGTGTGACCTATAAATTTTGATTAGTGACAAACGAATTAATTTTGACCTATAAAATTTTTGAACTGTGACCGTAAATTGTAAATATGTGACCAAAATGGTCATCGGAATAGTTGTCGAAATAATCGTCGGAATCGGAGCAATTGTCGAAACGGTCAAAAGAGTGGTGGTCGGAATGGTCGTTGAAATAGTCCCCGGAGCGGTGTGGGTGGTGCATGTGAGATTGATTAATTATATTATATTAGAATTAAATATTTAATAATAAATTGATTTAATAATTTATTATTTCATAAACAAAAAATAAAATAAAATCTAATTTTTAAATTTTCAAATTATAAACCTGATTTTTGAATTGGTGTAAAGTATACACCTTATTTATGAATTTTTCCTTTTGATTTTGGTAGTTGGCTATTGGTTGTTTTGTTGATTGTTGGTTATGGGTAGGGGTAGGGGCTTAGATTGGGCTATTATTTTGTATGTATGTATGGACTTTTAGGAACATCAGCATCTGAACAGGACTATTGAACCTTTTTTTTTTTTTTTTTGATGAAGCTAAAAACAGCGATTACATAATCAACTGACTCTTGGCCGGTGAGCAGTTCGGGCGTTCTTTTTTTTTTTTTTTAACTAAGATAAATAACGTCAGAAATTTGCTGCTTTAATGCCTCTCTTATTTTTGTTTTGTATATTGGCGAAATGTGGTTATAAGACTTGAATGTGTTGTGGAAGGCGGTGGAAGCAGATTTGCTGGTCAAAAGGAAACGATTTTGGCTTTGATACCAAACTGACGAAGGGTGCAAGAGGATAATTATAGAAGGGGAAAGGGGGGAGAGGTGGAGAAAGGAGGGAGAAATAGAAGAAGAGGGAGAGAAGAAGAGAAAAATTGGGGAAGAAAATATCAATTATTCGAAGGTTGTCTATTACAAGTTTACAACACAAAAGAGCCCTTTATACGGGGTTTGAAATATTTTATATTGAGAAGGAAAATATCAACTCAATTAAACCTAATTATATTTCCGAATTAAAATTGGAAGCTAATGATAATAATATTCCTTCTAATATTACATCATAGGGTTATCCCCAACTTCTAAATTTTGTATCTCATTAGTACGTTTTCCAATCATTTGGAAGAGCACACGTGCAATGCATCTAAATAGGTTTTGTTACAATAGAGAACGAATAGAAATTTATATCATGCATCTGAATTAGTTAGGAGCAGATTATGAAGACAGGACAACATAAGCACTTAAAGTTAGCAAACCAACTGGCAGCAGTTAGGTGAACCACATTAGACAGAACAAATTGATGCCCCCTTCATTTGTATGAGCTCTATACAAACCCTGTTAGATACATGAGAATTCTAGGACATCAATTTGCTTAAGAGTCGATCAAGGTTTGAAATGCTCACATGTCCACACACACACACTCTCTCTCTCATAATTTACCCCCCTTGTCTATCAAAGTTGTAGTAGTGGCAGAGCCATTACAACACCAAAAATGGAAAGCAGTAACAGCAACAACCAAACTGGAAAAGATTGCTTCCTCTGGTTATTTAACTCCTCTGGAGCTTCGATTCTTTTCAACTCTGCCTTTGCCCCATGTTTCTCTAACAAAGGGTTTAAGAGTCCATCTTGAGTATGTGCAGATGTGTCCTGCTCAAGTTTAGATTTCTCGGCTGCAAGCTGCTCTTCATACTTGTCAACGTATTCTGGAAACAGTTTCTTGAATGTAGGGCTGTTATGAACAAATAAAAACACGAGGCCATAAAATACTTTGGAAAGGCATTCAAGAAATTAATGTTTTGCCACCAAGTTGTAGATATAGGCAGCATCCATAAGGGTTTCAATTTGTTGATACTATCCAATACAACTACCAAAAAGTCTCGGGTACTGTACAACACATATAGCTTACACGCACACTTGACTATTGTACAACCAAAGATTTCCAACAAACTTTTTAGGGGAAAATATGAGACTCCAATAATAAACTTCCCATATCACCCATGGCGCTTGGCACTTATCCCTTTCCGAAAAGTTACTTGCAGTGAGATCCTAACTAAGTGGCATAAATTAACAGCAGATAATATTTTTATTTATTAAGAAATAGAAAAAAACTATCAAACACGTTTGAGCCCATAGCACTAGATGCTGGAATGTAGCGTGATATACAAAGACAAATGACAATATGAGATGGCTAACTTGTTAGACGTGCAGGGGGCATTGGTCTATGAGGAATAACAGGACTGAGGATCCGATTAACGTGAAATAAAGACTTCTAATAAGGACAATTTTAGTAAGGTGAGAAAACAACCAACCACTGACTTACAACAGCTCTGTGTTATTTATGCGATAGACCAAAGAAATTACTTTTCAATCCAAAAAGGTCAAAATCCTGGTGGACACCTCCTACCCGAAAAAAGAGAGAAGAAAGGTAATCAGGTTTGAAAAAGACTCACTTCTTACAATTGAAAGCAAGAGAAGCCTTTGCAAGTCTGTGTTTCTCTTCAACGGTAGTTGTCACACTGCCTGTGGTAGGACTGCTGTCCATCTGAAACACTTTAGACCATAATGAGATCTGAATATTTAAAGAACACTCCCATTTTGACAAAACTTCTAGCTAAAGAAACTTTTAATCAGAACAAGAATAAAGCAAGCAGTCACAAATGGGCAAAAATGAATTGTAAACCATTCTTTGTTCTAAAAACGTGAACTCACCATGAATGAAAGGAGTCCATTCAATATGCTGCATGTAAAAAAATTGAAGTCAGCTCAAGAAACTTAAACTGCTACAAAAAAAAGAAAAGACCGTCTTGACAACTCATTACCTTGAGACAGACCACATGGGGTTCCAACTTTCAGGATGGACTGGAAAGTGAAATGATGTAAGTCGAAGGAACAAAAATGTCTCTGAGATAACCAGAGAAAGAATAAATTTTCACTGTAACCTTGAAGTAACTTACAATCACTCATAGACAGACATATTTTCTTTTGGGTCATGAAGCGGCCATTCGGAGTAGTCATACTATAGATCAAGGAAATTCAGAAACAGCTAGTCATTAATGCCTCAAATCAATTCGGGAATAATGCTTAAAGCATTAAAATAAATCTCTGAATGCAAATTTGACTACTTACCTGATTCCTGGAGGTTTGAATGGATATTCAGGAGGAAACTTAATCTTTCCATAGTAATATCCACCTTCTCGTTTGGAGCGATAGACAATGAAAACAAGACAAAAGGTGAGTATCGTCATGCGACATAACAAAAAAATACCTTCCAGGAAAATTGAAGAACTAGAAACCTGCAAATGGTGTCCCTTCACTTCCCTCCAAAACATAATCTGACCACAAAATAGGAAAATGGATCATATTATAAAGGAAGCAAATAAATGAGTGAATGATATAAACACTGGATAATAACTGTCATTTAAAGGGGTAACTGGTTCTAGCGACTCAAGGAAAGATGCAGGACCACAGGAAAACATATTTTGCAAGTATAACAGGGGTTTAATCTGGTCAAATAGAAAGATTTAATCATGAAGAATACATGTCATGGAAAAACAGATGCCAATCGTACCCTCTTCAAATTTTAAAAAGAGATTTGCAAGATATGTTTAGCTACATAATAATTACATAAACTATACGAAATAAATATCCCCCTCCTTCAATTTGACAAGCCCGCTAATGTTTTACTACGTCTCATCATGGTGAAGCATGTATTGCCACATCTGTCAATAGAAGAAAGAAAAATATTTTGACAAAATGGGGCAAATGAGAATGGAATCAGATGGGGAAGAAGAATTACAAGTACAAGCCTCATACACAACAATATGACAAAAAAAAAAACAGCTAATGTACAAAAAAAAATTCAAAATCTCGTTCAAGATCTACTTTTAATTACTCACATTTGTGCACATGAAAAGGCACACAGCACTATCTAATACATTTGGAGAACAAAAGTAGAGAAAGTGACTTACGCCACTCGAGGATGTCATTTGGAAGAGGACGTGCCACAACATGTGAAACAGGTTCCTTCAAATGCATAAAATAAACAATAACTCCCAATCCAGTTGAAATAATTAGAGTGTAAGTAATAAGTACAAATGAAGCCTGAAAAGAATTAACACAATACAAAAAGTATCTCAGGCAAAGTCCAATGGAAGAAAGTTGAGCTGGTAGGTATTAAATGGCATAGGGGTTAAGGTTTCAAACCTGTGTTTAGTGGTAAAGATTAGGCAATAAATTTGTTTCCATTGGGAATGTTAGAGTTATAATACATATGGCTGGAATATCCATGAAACGTCAGAAGAAAAGGTACCAGATCTTGTGTCCTAAACAATTATACAACTTAAAAGTGTCTTTTATGGTGAGAAAGAAGGGGAGAGCAGCCATTTAGCAATGTATAAACTCTCTACAACAACAAAACTTCCTGCTACTTTTATTACATTCTTTTCAACAATAATCTAAAGAAAAATGACAGTCTAAAAACTGAACTTTGGTGGCCAACATGGGAAAAAGAAATCAGGTCTGGATGTTTTGATGATGGTGGAATACAGAATTCAAAATATCATAAGCAGCACCTTCTCAATGCCTCGGGAATAACCATACAACTCTAAGTTAGTTGCCATTGTGACAAATAATGAACATATGGATGGTGGGAAAACTACTTACTTTACATAGATCTCTAAATTCCTTCTGAAGGCGCTTTACACATGCTTTTTGTGACATTTCTCAGTGTTAAAACAAGAGTCAAAGAGATATGAATTATAGCCAATTCTTTAATATAAGCACTGCCTCAACTATGATATCTCCTGCAAAAAATGATAAATTGCATTTAAAATTTGAAAATTCTGTTTATTCCTCTTCGCCTCAACAGTCGAACGCAAATAAAGTAATATCAACAAATGAACTAAGAGTTTCACCGAAGAGAACAGAAAATTCTGTTTCAAACAAATATATACAACACATTTCTCAAAACACACATAAAATGAAATTTAAAAGTTAAATAAATCAAATTTCTACTCAAGCATTATGGATAATGGAAGAAACGGGAGAAACAAATCATGTGCTCTCCATATCATTAAAGAGATGCAGCCTAAAGAAATTATGTGATCAATGTAAATACGTATTAAGGAAGGAAAAAATTGCCCAACATGCATAAATATGCATATTTAAAACTGAGTCATGCCTACCAAAATAAACAAAGTCCAGCCTGCCTATTTGCTGCTTCTTACGGTAAGAGTTGGGTGTTTTGCTGCTAGCAAATCTCATGAATCCAGATACTTTATCAATTATGTCTAAAGTCAATGCTCTTAGATTTGATATCCCACACATTGGTCATTTCCATTGACAGATAAAATATCTATTTGTCGGGTTGCCGGCTCTAAGAACGAGTTAATGCCCATTATGTCAAATACTTGAACTACGGTGATGATAAACCAAGAATAGTAATAATCCAACATCAAGGAGTTTAAGCAAGATGAACCACATCTTCGTGCATTAGGTTAAACTTAGTGCATCTTACAGTCAGAACATGTTAATTTCCACAGTAGAACGTCACTTCTACCGAGATGAGATACATTACTAACATTGATATAACCAATAGTTGCAATAGTAAAGTACTTTCAAATGAAATTATCAATTACAAAAATTAACGACAGTACCATTTGATTTTTTATCATTCACCAAAAGGGAGGAAGACAAACCGTTGGATTTTTTTGTATCCCCTAAATCGATTAAGAACTGGCCAAACAAAAATATCAAATATTTCGCAAAATCCAAAGTTTTCCTTTCCTAATTCATCCACGGTTCATTTCCCAACTCGCCAGTCCCACAATTTTGCAATCAGAATACAGAATCAAAAAGTCATACAGCATAATTTACTCTCTGTCCTCACTAATATTCTCCCAAATCAAAATAACAATTAAATTCAAAAACAGAAGCATAAAATACAGGCTTTCACAGTAAAAAAAATCGAACCCAATCTTCAATTCCTAAACCAACACCATATCATGGATCTGTTTGTGAATTAAATAACAGAAAAACCATAGCAATTATATACAAAATATATGTACACTTATAGAGAGATAAAAGATAATATTTTACCAGAGATCTGAAGGAAAAATCAAATTCTGTACTGTTCCGCTATCATCACAGAACATCAACTTCTTGCGCAATTAAATTTTTAATTCAGAAATATTAATATATTATTTTATGATTAATAGCAATTTAAAGGAAATTACGATTCGATACCGATGGGGGCATCAAATTTGGGGAAAATGAGGAATGCAGTTCCTTTTTTGGTCCGCCTGAGGTCATGTTAGAGAATTTAATGAGTCAAGACCATTTTAACCCTGTAAGCATCAAATGGCGCTAGATCTGCTGTGCCTTGATTAGGGTAGGTATGTCTTTTTCATACCGACTAGGTTCCCGGCTCAATACCACTGTGAGTTCTGACCGGAGCGAGTCAAGTCCCTTAACGATTTCCTCAATTTTCTCCTATTTTGAAATTCCTTCAAATTCATCCTACGCCGAGCTCAATTGAATCTCAGGTTACTCGTAAAATTTTGATTTTAATTAGTCCAATGTAATTGTATTTCAACTAGTTTATTAATCTACATGGTCACTTTTCTTATTTTCGAGCATATTTATGATTTTTTGCAACTAGTGTACTTGTCTGTAAATATTAGTATTTATATGCAATTTGTGTTTCGACTCTCAATACATATAAAATAAAAGTCAATCTCTGATGAGTGTGTATTATTGAATTGTGGTGTGTGGTGATGCTAAGTTTTTCAAGGGACTGCTAAGATTTTTGCTCCTATTAGAGAGTATTTTTGGATGGTGGTGTTTGAATCATGTGAGTGGGACATCAAGAAACCCCTCGATCAAACTTTGTTCCAATTTGTTCTCACCATTGATCACCTTACTTGGACGGTATGCTGGCCAGCATCATTAAACGCCCTACTTGTGAGCCCACTATACTATTGCTCGAAAGTACAATCACTTTCCTTGATCTTGTGCTCATATCAAGTTATGCGTCGATTTATTTTCAGTTGATAGATTTCACTCAACCATTGTACATGTCAGAGTGTGTTTCATAATGTGAAAAAAGGCCATGGTTGTTTGTCAGCCACAGAGGTGGACAAAATAATCAAACCAAACCAGATTAAACTAAATCAAGTGGTTCGATTCGATTCTACAAAAAAAAAAAATGGTTCTGGTTCGATTCTAATTTTAGAACTAAGAACCAAACTCAATATTAAATTTTATTAATTTATTCATACAAACAAAGTCAAAAAATTCAATTGAAAATCGGGAAAAAATGTCATGTACTTTCGATTTCTCATTTCTCCGTGTGGAGACTGGAGGCCATAATTCATTTTGGAGATCCAGACTCTAATTCTTATCTCATTTTCAATTTTTACATCGACTCTCACATGAACACCAACAATTACAGCCTATCATCTACCGTTACGCTCAGCCACCATTATCGCATAGATTTCTGAAATTGAAGTCTCGACATTTGACTCTTTTTAAATGTACTTTCTTTTTTTTCCTCAATCAGCAATGAAATTAGACCTAAATCAAAATCGAATGGTTTGATTTCAATTTAGTTACATATATTAAAAAAACGATTTGGTTCCATTATCAAAAAATTCATTGGTTCCAAATTCGGTTCGGTTCAATTTGGTTTTCTTGGAACCAGAACCAAATAGAATCATATACACCCCTAATCAATCATAAGTGATCTTTTGATTGGTGCTCCATCACATCATACGAACTATCACTGCCGCGTGCGCGATTCGCCCCTAGAACACGCCATAATTGTTTTGGTGCGATAATTCATAGGCCATAAAGATTATGACCTTCTTAAAATTTGAAATCGCCTTTTCATTTTTAACGGAGCCCTTCATCTATACAAGTCACAAGGGTGCCTCCACTCCATGTTTTCAAACTCAGAGGCTTGGCTTGACTTGGCGTTTGCATTTCAATTCTTTTGCGGTGAAAACTTAAGTCATTTGCTATATGCTTTCTTGTCCTTATAAGCAGTTTATATGTGGATGGTTTCTCATCACTAACATGCTCTCTAAAATTTGCTACAAACTCTATAACCAAAGCTAAAGAAATGGAAGTTTACAAGAAGTACATTTTGAATCCCTGTTGGTGCTATTTATGCAATTTCTTTGTTAAGTTTATACAACACTGACCCGCATATTATGGGCCAGGCTTTGATCAAGTTTATTTTGGGGGTCAAAAGTGTTGATATTTTTTAAAGGGGTACTTATAAAAATACCCTTAAAATTAGGGATGTTTTGAAAAATCATGTGAAAGATTTTTAGGAAGTAAAAAATATTATGTAAAATGAAAAAAGTGACACAATGTCACTTTTTTAAAAAAAATTGTCACTTTTTTTAAAAAGTAAAAAAAGTGACATAAACTCAAAAAAAGTGACATAATTTTAAAAAAGTGACAAATATACTTAAAAAAGTGACAAAACACTAATCAAAACATATGTTTGTTATTCAAAAAAGTGATAGAAATTTTTAAAAAGAAACAAACAATAAAAAATGAAAAAAAAATTCAGAAAAGTGGAGAAAAAAGTGACACAATGTCACTTTTTTTAAAAAAAAGTGACACAGTTTACTATTTTAAAGAGTTAAAAAAAGTGACAAATATGAAAAATAAAAGTGACAAAAATCCAAAAAAGTGACAAAAAATTTTAAAAAAGTGATGAATTCAAAAAAAGTGACACAAATTAAAAAAAAAGTTACACAGATTAAATTAAAGCTACAGAAAATAAAAAAAGTGACAAACACTGCTTATGTATTCGAGCAGCTAATGTGTGCTTATAGCATCTATCCAATCAAGAAACGTCAAAGTTCACATAAAAGTGACATCGACACACTAAAATGATTATTAAATACTTGTATATGCATCTGCTTATTATCCAGCATTCTTTCTCCTCCTGCCCTGCATTATAACCACCATAAAGCTATAGATCTTGTCCACCAGTTAACCAAGTTTAGCCCCTATATGATAGCTAAAACAGCAACTTTCAAACAATATGAAGGACATAATGTACACAGTTTCATCCACAGATTCCACAGGAATTCTACACATTTCTGACCAATTCAACCAGCAAATTCATAAAGAGGCATTTCCTACCTCTTCCAACTGTATCCCATTTTGGCAATTTTGCCAATGCAAATATACAGCCTTGTTTTACCAGGATTTTCTTGAATCCACTTAGCCCTTGTTTGCCCCCATTATATCTCATTACATTATATTAAATTTTTCTCTCTCTTCATCTCAACCATACATTCATCAAATAAAATAATAATACACACAAATCTAAAACTTTTCAACCACACATCTCCCATCAATCACTATTCTAAAAATTTTCAACCCCCTAAAAATCTACAATAATGGGGGCCAAACAGGGGCTTAATTTAAATGCTTCCTTAAAGAGGATAAAATCTGCAAGAATCGTAGGTCAATCGATCCAACAAATTTTCCATTGATAGAATGGTATTTCCCAATAGTGTCATGCAACAATCTTTGCCATAAAAAAAAACAGTAAGACTAACAGAACCATCCAAAAATAGCTATCAATATACCAAAAGATTTCACAAACAATGAACTAACAAGAACAGAAATATTTCTACTGTGCAGACTTGCTGTACTCTGAGACCTGAGTGGAAGTCGGACCAGCAACTGTTCGTTAC